TTCAAGTTGGCTCCATAAATTCTTTGCCATTGATTACATAGAAAAAGAAAGTTGCGGTATACTTCACGCAATCCTCCACCTCGATTTCTATGTTTGGAGCTTCTACATCTTTCATCATTATACTTGACAGCTCCACCTACACCAACTCTCTTTGGTGTCTTTGTCTTTCATCATAGGCGGTCGCCTTTTATCACAAGTGTTTGCACCCCCTTAATTAGGTGCATCTGCAACAACTCATCCTTCCATCCTTGCATGCATTGAAAGGTCCTTGCTTGTTGCCTTTATCAAGAGCACAAGAGACTTCCTGTTGTACAACTTTTTCACATAGTCTCTGCTCTAAGCTTCATTTAGGAACTCTTCTTCTCCTTGCACTTTATTGTCTCATTATAGTACCTCGTTGGATCCTCCAGGTACTCCTGCACAATCTCCGTGTGTCCTCGTGCATTTTCTGTTCTCCAGATTTCTCCTTATTCCTTGCTTATGTTTGACAATAGCTCATCCTGTCACAACATCTATCCAAGTCAAAATAGGGTGCCAATCTTTATCCCTTTGCTGTATTTCTCTTCTATTATCAGGGTCTTCATCATTTCTCCCCTCGAGAAATTACAGTCACCGAATCTAACTTTCTTTGAGAAATCACCACTCCATCAGATCCTTGATCATACAGAACCCAACTGTTCCTTTGTGCCGTCATCCTACTAGTCTTCAACAGTTTCATAATAAACTGTCACATATACAAAAATAGTACCGTATGGATAATCCTTCTACTAAGCAAATTCCCAGGAAAGATTGGAGGGGTCACAACGGTTCCGCTTAAAACCCAATCTCCTAGCCAGAACTTCTTAGGTCATATCTATCCATCGTACTGTCTTTTCATATATACAACCATTTGCTAGCTTTGTCGCGGCTATCCTTTACAAGTGATCTGGGGTATCCTTATTTTATACTTGATTTCTCAATATCTGACAAGACTACCAGTGTTTAGATTCGTCAAGATTGGTCTTCAATTTGCATTTTCCAATATCCAAAATCAGTTTCATCAAATTTTTCAATTCCCATATCCTTTATTTCATCAGTCATTTTTACTCCTTCTTGGTTTCGAATCTACAAACTCCGACCTTACAGATGTGTCCGGAATGGCCAACAATGTTGGAAATGACACTGAGATCACCCAAATCGGACTTCGGATGGCTCAGATTTAAACAATCAAACTTTGGGATCACTAGACGCTGTAGATGACGTCACGTGGCAGGAGGAATAGTCGTTATGCCACACTGGATCAAAACCCAGGGAGCTGACGTGGCTGTGATGACGTGTCAGCCACGTAGAAAATATGGGGTCCACCAAATCTGATGTGGCAGTTCCAGGTGAATTTTTCGGGTGACGTGGACGATGAGGTGTCCGATGACATGGCGGTTTGACTGGTCAGAGTGCTGATGTGTCTGGTGACGTGTCTGATGACTGTGCAGAACTGCTGATGTGGCTGATAGCGTGGACAGTCACCCCGCCGGCACGTGCAGCGGTTTTCGACGTTCGATTTCGATGCGGTTTTCACCAGTGGCTTCGTCTCTTCCTCCTCTACCCAGTGATATGGTCAAAACACAATTTTGACAACTTTTATTTTTTAGCAAAATCAAACACCACTTTAAACCATGTGTTCTGATACCAATTGTTGGGAAATTCCGACCGGTGATGTACTAATATTTGCTCATAGGAGGTGAAACACACTAAGACACGGTATTTACGTGGTTCGGCAAAACCGCCTACATCCACGAGAGAGAGTCTATATTATTAGAGATTAGAGAAAGAATATAAAACAAATACATGGAGGAGAAAGATCAATTCTCTCTACTCTACTCCAGCTTTCTTTGCTGCACTTGCAGTTGCTGCAATGGCAGCCAAGCTGCTGCCATTACAGCTCTCTCTTTCTTTTTACTCTCTTCACATTCTCACAAAACTCTTTCTATTTTTGCCTTGCTGCCATTGCAGCTCTCTCTTTCTCTCTTCACATTCTCACAAAACTCTTCTCATTGCAGCTCTCTTTTTCTCTCTTCATATGCTCACAAAATTCTTCTCTTTGCTTTCTAAAATCATCATAAAATTCTTCTCATTTTGCTCTCTAAAATCATGTTTTTTTTATAGGCATCTATGGAAGCTTCTTTTATTATGTTGTCAATATTAGTAACCACCAATTCTAGCTCATTCAATGGTCGCTATCGATAGTCAATAGTTGGTGCATGCCTTACATAAAATAACAACCAACATAATATAAACAGGTCGCACATAATCGATTACTTCCATATTATGAAGGTACAACTCGAGCACAATCATTCAAAACTATATGCGTGTGTGTTAGTTTAATTGCTAATCGACGTGGGATAGGGTGAGAAAGCCATTGAAATTACCATGAATATAAATTCATGACGAAAGAAAAGCTATTCGAATATGAAGAGTTCTTTTGCAGCATAAATAAATGGTCCTATTGCTCATTAACTAATTTGAAAAGATATCTCATGAAAACATTGTATGTATTAGTCATTTATTTAGTCAATAGAAAGTATATATATGCAAGTGCAATAACATAGGTGAGCCTCATTTAATTTACTAGCTTCATTTCTTGCTTAAACACACTTATTATCCATTCTAACCCGTACATGTAAGTATATAATAAGTCGATTGAGTACTTTTATCTTAAATATCAGAAGATCTTTGCGGGACTTAACAAGAATCTTTTTTCGGCAGTACTTGCTCTTCGACTCCTTGCACAGAATTTGCTGTCATCTTCCACCCAGTTATCGCTGTCGGATCATATTTGTTCTGGAGAAGAGATCAAATGTGGTTCCCCTCACAACACCAAAAATGGATCGTTTCGTTGGGTCACTTACATGTATGTATAAAACTTGATAGATTCAAATTCTGATTGTCTCGATGTGAATTACTTCAATTTCTTTGACAGAAAATTGGTACGAAAAAAGTTGGATGGATCTATTCACTATTCAATAGGTCGCTTCAAAAACTTGGAAACACTGTAAGTATCATAACTACATATACATTTCTCTTTTCAGTATTGAATCTACAGTGGTCACCATTGATGAAAATGAGGTTTGATCATATTGCCTACAACAGTAATCTTTACGGTAATCAGCTTCTGGTGGGATTCCTTCAACGCTGGGGAAATTACAGCATCTCAAGTATTTGTATGTTAAAGCTTGGATTCCTTCTTCTTTACATATAAATGATGGCATGCCTAGGCTGTTCTTATTTCTAAATAATGGTACAATGGCTTTGTGCAAAACATCAGGTACCTTTCAAGCAATTCGTTGACCGGGTCTATACCTCCAAGCCTGACAAAGTTGCAGAATCTGGAATATCTGTAAGTCTTCCAGTTTAATTTGGGTTTATACCTTAGTTTGCTCAGTTTTGAATCGCATTAACCTTATCCCTTTCAACATAAATATATGCAAATTAGAATTCCATAAAATTATTTTAAGCATCGTATGGATTTTATATCTAACATATTTCTATCACGCTTGCCAGTTCTTACCGAAGTTATACTTTTAAAGACAATTAATAATTAATAACTAATTCTAAATTGATTTGAAATTGTAACAAACGAACCTTTTTAATATTTTTCTTTGTGTTTGGCTTTTGTGTGATATTATGTTTTTTTGCTACATATAACAACTTTTTTCATCTGCTGAAAGTAATATAAACTCTCTTTTAGATCAATTTAGAGTTTTGCTACATATAACAACATTGTGATATTATGTTTTGCTCTTCAATTGAAAAAAAAAGAGAATAAAATATAAAATAAATGGTGTTGAAATTCCTTAGAAATGATAGTAGATAACCCTTCTAATGATGACTGAATTGTAGCACGCTCTGCTTCATTGTAAATCTAGCAGATTCTATCAAGCTTCCTAATGAATAATTAGTTCTAACAGAAGTCATATTTTAATGCTGTGATTTAAAGCCAATTACTAATTGATAATCTCTTTAAGCCATGTTCTCAAGTTAATTAATTACAAATAAATAAATATAAGGTATTGGTGAATTGTGCAATAATTAAGCTTAAATAACTTTTTAGTTGAGAGTATGTTAAAGTTATATATATATATATATATATATAGATATATATAGCTTATCAAATAACTTAAATTTTTAAATTGAAATGATTATTTATATAATACAAAGGCATTGAGATTATAATTTTTTTTGTCTAAAATAACTTGTAGATTATATAAAAAAAAAAACTGCTTAAAATTTCAGAAGGAATGTCTATCAATATTCGTGAAGTATAGAAAACTTCAGAAAGACCTTTTCTACACCACAATTGATAAAAGTTCCATTGATACAATATAGAATTGAATCTGTTGATGATATTAACTGAAAGTTTTTATCTTCCGGAACATGTATCATGAATCAGGGATCTTTCCAGCAACGATCTTGATGGCACCATCCCTTCGAATCTGAAGGGTCTACAATCGCTTCGTATATTGTAAGTCAATGGTATATTTGCTAGATATTTTTTTTATTATATATATTCATATATTTATTCTGTTATCTGGGTTGAAAATCAGGGATCTTTCCCGGAATAACTTGAATGGGCCAATACCAGACAGCATAATATTGTCAAAACTTGACAGTGATGTAAGTGTTTTTTTTATAGATTAAAACAGTCTTGCATCTATATATGGACAGCTTAATTCTCAATCAAATACCTGTACATCTTCCTGTCACAGCTATGCCGACCGCAACTTCCTCAGTGGTACTATAAACGAAAATTTGGGCACACTCTCTTCACTTCAATCTCTGTAAGTTATATTCATTATACTTCAAGTAATATAACCATAAATTCACTCAACATACACCATAACGAGGTGATTTCCATAGTTATTTGAAGGAATTATAATTATAGTGCTTTTAAATTATAAACTATTCAATATTTTTATTCATTGTATTATAATAATTTATGTTATCACTCAGTTACGTAATTAATTATCTCGTAATTATGCCAGTTATTATATTAGTGTAGATCATGTTTTTACCTAAAAAAGTTATAAACAATTGAGTATAATTTCTAATAAAAGTTATTTGTGACCGAGATCGAGAAGAAAAAACATATTCACTCTTGTTACGTTATAAATACTATTTTATTATTTTGTTATCTTAAAAATAATGTAATAGTAATATATTGAGGTAGGCCCAAAGAAAGGAGCACATGATAAAGGCACAGCATGCCCAACAAGGGATTATTAATTTACCACTTGTCTTAAATGAAAGGAACAAACAACAACCAATAGACATGGCCACATAGGCCGAGATTCCGAAATTATTAATAAGATATTATTTATTTATTTATTAATACGAGTATTCAGATTAATTTTAAAATTAATAATAATATAAACCTTTAATAATTCTAATATCATTTATTAAGTTACTTTGGATATGGTTCTCTGTGATTGCATAGTTCTAGTTATTCACTGCTCCTTTCATTCTACATGATATTTGCGCCTTATACATTATGTCATTCGATTTGCAGGTCTCTTTATTATAACTCGTTGTCAGGCCGTATTCCAAAAGAATTAGGAAAACTGTCTGCACTCCGTTATTTGTGCGAAAAACTTACTCACCACTTCTTTTAGTCTTTATTTCAAGAGTATTATAAATTTATCTACTTATTTGTCTGTTTGTTTCTCTGGAGAAAAAGGGCCCTGGACGACAATGATCTTCATGGTGATCTTCCGAAGGAGCTTGGAAATTTAACGAACCTTCAAGCCCTGTAATTTTCTTCTTTTTTCTTTTGTCATTTTGATCATGAAGAGTCGAACTTGATTTAACTTTAGATGAGGCCCCATGTGAAAATTTTGAAACATATAGCAACCTATGTAGCACTCCCAATAACCTAGAACTTCATTTCTTGTAGATACTTGACAGCGAATAATTTTAATGGGACAATTCCTACGACATATGAGAATCTGACCAATCTTGAAGTGTTGTGAGTTTCTTGCTTTTATTTTCTCTTGCAATTTAATTGTTCGGTGTCATATAATTAAAGGAAGCGTTTGAGTCAATGCAGTGCGGTAGGTGGAAACAATTTGTCTGGTCCGATACCTGATTATATTGGAAAATGGGTGAACCTCGCCTATCTGTAAGTTTTTTTTTTTTCTATAAAACATAGTCAAGTTAAATGTTATAATCTATTGAGGATTTAATTAAACTTTTGAAGCCAAACAATTTGGTCCATTGAGCTGACTGTTGCATTGTGTACTTGTCAGGGTCCTGATAGGAAATAATTTTGAATGGAATCTGCCTGCAGAAACTTTTAATCTGACAAAATTAGAGAAGTTGTATGTGCACTCATGTTATTTTATTTTAATGTGGAGGTAGACATGAAACATGTCGTTTTCTTATTAATGAGTTATAAAGTGTTGTTCACTGATTCCAGGTGGGTGAGTGATGTAAACAATCCCGGAATATCTTTCCCAAAAGAATTCATACCGGAGCCCAATTCTCTGTCTTCTGTGTGAGTGTTTTTCTTCATATTTATGGGATTAATTTGCGAAAAATCTAGATTAATGTTAATGTGCATGAATTTACTCGAAAATCTTTAGACGTTTAGTTTTCCAAGTAGATAAGCACTTTCATTGACACATCTTGGGATTTTGTTTCATATGAAATTAATATTATAAAGACGTTTTCCACCGCTTCTGTTCTCTCAATTTCTATCGTTGTGTAATATTATAAAGAAACTATTTGATAATGATTTACATTTTATTTATTTAGTTTAATATGTTAATTAACTAATGACTTTAATATTATATTAAAGAACTATTGTAATTCAAAATTTTACACTATTAATAATGTTTTTGCATTAACTCTATCATGTTTGAAATTGATGAAAAACATCGAGAAAATGGAAGTTGTTAATCTACAGTCTCTTACTTCTTCAATTGTTCCTGCAGGGTTCTGAGAAATTGCAATATTAATGGTCCCATACCCGAATACATTGGCAAGTGGCCTGAGTTATCATATCTGTACGTTTACCTTTTACGAAATCTCCAGTAATTGTTCAATCTTAGATAGCCTTCACCAATTGGTTAAAACTCCATATCGTGTAAATAACTCAACAATTATGTCTATACATTGATCTCATTCGTTCTTTCTTTTAACTTTGATCGACATTACCAATTAAGTCTCGAGTTTTCAATTTTGGGTAATATATATTTGATGCGTTTCGCTTTGGCTCGCAGTGATTTGAGCTTCAACAGCTTAACTGGTAGCATTCCAGAAACATTTCAGAAACTGACAGTTGTATGTGCTTAAGTTGTTTATATTTATATTTATATAATATAATGTATAGCTGGCGAACACTGTTGCTGATGTGTTGGTGTTTCTTGCTTAGATTTTTAACAAGGAACATGCTTACTGAGCTTCCTTCATGGATCTCTAATCCGAAGAAATCGGAAAGCAGTCGTCATACAGTGTAAGACACTAGATTAATGCAAGCTTGTCTGCAACTGTCTACATAACTTCTTTTGAGAAACTTTTGAATCACTCCTTTATCTGTGTCGAAACTAAGATATCGATGATTTTCTCTGTCTATTTTTAGGACTTTATCAAACAATTTCACCTTTTGGATTACTTTTTTATAGATGAAGTATGGTGTTAACCATGATTTGTTCTGTGGTTAAACATTAAACATTTAGCAAGGTGACATATGTTAAAAAAGGTTAAAGCACAATATTATGCTAATGCTATATTAATGTTTTGTGGTTATGCTTTTTTATTATGTTCTCCTAGCATTTAGCAAGGTGATATATGCTATTTTACCATATATTTATAAAATATATAGTAAAATTTAAATTCATAATTATTTGATCAACAAATCTTTGATACCATATTAAATAACCAATTTAATTTAAAAATTTAAATTATTATGTGATACTTTAAAATATAATTTATATAATTCTTTAATATCTTAATTTTTAAATCTATAAGTCTAAAATAAAATAATTATAGAAAAAATTAAGTTTCCACATCTCAATAACTAACCAATACAAATATACCAAAGAATGATATAATAAATAACTTTCAAACCATTTCATAACCCATCACACCATGTACATAACCCAACATCATGAAGTATATAACTCACCATTACATCATGTTCAAATCACATTACATAACGTGTCATGCCAAGTATTTAACTAAGTGTCACGTTATGTGTTCACAATGAATGTAAAGACACGAACACACATGTTTTATGAATTTTATTTAAAACATATTTATATTAATTACTCATAGTTATAACAAGTATGTAAACCGTAATCTTCAACAAATTTTTTATAAAGAAATGTTATACAAGGCTTCTGAATGTCTAAACATATTTTTATATATAATAGAATTAATTTCAAATTCAAATGGAAACAATAAAACATGGTAACAAACCATCAATAAATCTCAGTTCTTTATTAAAACCTCTCTAAAAACTACTATTTACAACCAAGGACTAAACTATATATTTTTAGAATTCAAGGGCAAAATCATAACTTTTAAAAAATTAGGGACTAAACTATAATTCCTCCATCTTCAACCCCAAAATAGATTTTCTAGAATTTCAACATGATTCTTTCTATACAATTATTCAATAATTCCCAATTTGTTTTCCTAATATTAAATTTATTCAAATTCTTTTACTCAAAATTCATCAAAACACACAAGCAAAATCCCATATCAATTCATTTCTACATATTCTATTTCAATATGCATTTACACAAATATATATTATTCGACACATGAATTACTTCAAATAAAATCACTAACATCACATAAACTTTAATTTTTCATTAAATTTATTGTAAACAAAAGATCTAAACCAATACCATAAATCAAATAGAAAGAGATTAAAAAAAACCTTACTCAAGAGTTAAATGATTAGTATATGATGAATTTTGAGATAGGGTTTGAAGAAATTTTTCTGCAAAAGAAAGGGAGAATAAGCTATCGGTTATAGGGAAGAAATTTCACTAGAAAGAGGAAAGTTTAAATGGAGGTGTTGACATCACCCCCCTCCATATATGGGCTAGCACATAAAATATAATCCTTTCATTAAAGAGACAACAAATGGTGGTTAGTATTGAATAAGTGGCATGCTAGGAAGGTGACATGATGTTAAGAAAGTTAATTTTGATGAATTATTAACTGAGGAAAAATTTATGAAAGCAATTTAGGGAGTAGTTACATTGTTACATATTATGAAAGCTTCATTTTTATGAATTGTTAATGTGCAGGGATCTTTCTTACAATAACTTCGACGAGGCATGTAAAAATATAAGTTGCTCGGGACTGCAAAATGTAACCATGTAAGGGGACGAACCAAACTCCTTTCCATTTTGCTTTCTGTTACAAATTTATTGACTTTAATGAATCGCTCCTGAAGGTTG